ACATGGAGAAGCTTGCTGCCCTATGGAATGAATTTGAGAATTTGAAGAAAAGGATGAATGATGATACGAAAAAGGCAAAGCGCCTGCAGCAGAAAATTAAGGTTCTTACGAATGGTTACCAGGTATGCTACAAAATTCTTGTTTAATTTTATTTAATTAGACCCATTTACCCATTTACCGTTATACAGTAAATTTTCACATTGAGCCTTTTTTGCAGGCTTATTTTGACCAAATTTTGGGCCTTTAATCAGCCATGTAAACTTCATGACCTAGGCCGGTCCGGTCACACTCAATGATCAATAGGGCTTGGGTTGGGCCAGACAAAAGTCTAGCCAGGGTTGGCCTGACAAGAATATTGGTCCTTTTCTTGAACCCCTCAACCCCTAAAGGAACAGACTTATAATGAAACTATCCTACTTTCCAAGAAGAGAAAGCAAATACAATTCATCTCTTAAGACTTAAACAACACCACGGCCCCCCCACCCCCCCCCCCCCCAAAACGCCCCCAGCCACACATACAAATAATAACAATAATAATAAAATGAATGAAAAAGTAAAAAAAAAAAAAAGAAAGCTGAAAGTGAAACCACATTTAAAATGTGCTTGTTTTAGCACACAGAGCCATGTATACCAATGATCACCAGCGTGAATGATGAATCTTAAGCAAATTCAATTAACAAACAGATATCTCTTACCCCACCCCTCCCCCCCCCCCCCCCCCAAAACACCCCCAGCCACACATACAAATAATAACAATAATAATAAAATGAATGAAAAAGTAAAAAAAAAAAAAAAAAAAGGAAAAAAAAGAAAGAAAGCTGAAAGTGAAATCACATTTAAAATGTGCTTGTTTTAGCACACAGAGCCATGTATTCCAATGATAACATTTGTACTCGAGACAAGTATCTGTTTGTTAATTGAATTTGCTTAAGATTCATCATTCACGCTGTTGATTTTAAATAATGGATATTGTTAATGATCAGATGCGGGCTGGAAAGCTTTTGTCCCAAATTGAAGCAACCTTCAAGCAGATGGACACTGCAGGAACAGAACTTGAGTGCTTCTGAGCTTTACAAAGGCAAGAGCAGCTAGCAGCATTACATAGGATTAATGGCCTCTGGGAAGAAGTTCAGAAGCAAAAGGAGCTTGAGAAAACATTACAGAAATGGTACGGAAATCTTATATCAGGGCAAGAAAGGACCCAACAGTTTGTGGATGCTTACAGAGTACAACCACAAATGCAATAAGAAATTGCAGCAAGGAATCGTCGTCTTGAGTTTTCTGCTGTCGCAGAAAATCAAACTGTTAAGCAAAGCACAGAAACTCCTGAGCCTGTTGCCTCCTCAGGTGTGCCTGGGAACTTTATTCAAGTCAACCGATGTCATGATGAAACTCCAAACGGACTGCTGGTTGTTGGTCAAATGCAACTTCATGCAAGCCTGAAACATGACATGGATGTTGACGCAGTAAAAGAGGATGCAATCCCCCTGGCATGGACGTAAGCTTATCATCCCACATCTTGCCTTCTACTGCTGAGGAAGAGTGTGCAGAACCAACCACTAATACCTCGGAAAGTTCTGTTTCTGCTAACTGTACTCTGGGCCTCGGTGTGGATGGAAATCACTCTTACAGGGTCGCAGTTCAAAATCCTCTGTACAAAGGGGAAAGCCATTCTGAACTAATCCATGGAAAGGAGACTAAGATGACTGATGATTCTGTTACTGTGACTGCTGATGATGATTTAATTAGTATTGAAGTTGCTAAGTAGGATTTAGCAGCTGATTATCAGCAGAATGCCACGGAAGACCAAAGCACGGGTGGTCTCTTGACCAAACCAAAAGGGTGTTGTACGAGATACAGCTGCAGATTGAAGATGGTTATCGTAATGGGAATGTACAGTTTCTAGCGACACAGTGGAGATGGCAAATTCGGAAGATGCATAAAAATTTGTGTCATACTAAAGAGCTGATGAAACCATTTACAGTGGAGATGGCAAATTCGGAAGATGCATAAAAATTTCTGTGTTTGCATGTTCTTGGGGTGCTGATTGGAGCTTGTTTGGGAAGATCCTAATACTGTCTGTATGGTGCAACTGTTATTAAGATTGAGTGACTATTACACTATGTTCTTTTTGAAGGACAATGTAATTTTGAGCCAAATTTTCCCATTTCATTACACTATGTTCTTTTTGAAGGACAATATAATTTTGAGCCAAATTTTCCCATTTCATTGCTATCATGAGGTTTCCCAATAGAGACAAGGTAACAATTGTAAATGTAATGGCAAGTTTTGTTCCTTCTGTTGTCGTGTGGACTGTCGGTAGTTTGGTTATGAAAAGCTCACTCAAAGAAATCAGTGGACTGCTGGGATTTTAAAGCACTCTGTTCTCATAATATTTTTAATAAATGAATAGTGTTCATGCTTTGCTTTTTTCTTTCATTTTGCTTTTCTTCTTTCCTTCTAAAGTTCTCTGTTCCTTTTCTTTTCGTTTTTTGTCTTTATGCTTGCTTCTCATCCTTTCCTTTCACTTTCATCCTTTCATTTTGAGTTATAAGAGGGAGTTGGACAATCGGACAAAGATATATGAGTAGAGATTAACATCAGTCGTTGATGTTATCATAGTGTCAATCTCTGTTGAGTTATGATTCTAGTTTACCAATTCGAGCACCATATGTATGAAAATTATATGACTCATACTCGTATTATAGAGAGAGTAAGCAAACTATGTGATTCGTTGAGGCTAACAAAAAGTCTATTGTGCGTGTTGATTACCTATGAGAGTGTGTTGCACAAGTACAAAATGCAAAACGCATGGATAAGACAAAAAAAAAAAAAAAAAAAAAAAAAAAAAAGAAAAAAGAAAAAAAGGAAAAATGAAATGACCTTATTACGTGTCAAATTCCAATTGACTTTTACCATGCTCGAAATTGACAAGTGGACGTCAAATATGGACGACACGTGTCAACACCACCACCCAAAACAAAGTGAACCATGAAGGTAGGCAATAGAAACCCATGACAAAAATCCATGGCTGTAACTATACATTTTTGTGTTGAGCCAACAAAGAAATAAACACACACATTTAGTTGCTACTAAAAGTGAGACCATATTGTGGTGGTTCAATCATGTACACTATTGGACTTATTCCTTTGGTACTGAAAGTCAGATTGAGATGTTTGGTTGTTACCAAGATTTTCCGGGAAAGTTCAGAGAATTGCTGTGAAAGTTCGTGAAATTTGTTGCTATCCCTTTTTAAACTTTCTCAGATGTGATTGCACAAGCTCAGTGGTGACAGCATAATTTGTTCCTTTGTCGACAAAAGTATTTTCGGTGAATTATTTCGGATGAATATTCTCATCCATAAAAAGAAAATGGCGATTTTGTCCCCCAATGAAGACTTATATTCTAATATAATTAATATAAATTTTTTCCGTACTTTTAATATGATGAGACCTCTCATCAATATATTTGGAAGAAAGCGTAAAATGATTGTACGTTTGTGAGGGAAATATGTAGTTGTAAAATACTTGTTTCTATCTTACAATTGATGTGGCACACGATTAAATGAAAAAAAAACATATTTTTCCTCCTCAATTGAGTCTTACAAAATTTTTATAAATCAGTATTCAAAAAAGACCACTCCTTTTGTTATTTATTTATTTTTGTTCAAATTTTCTTACCATATTATTTACGGTTGCCCTCTTGTAGTGAATTCCAACGAAGCAAAAAAAAAAAAAGAGAAAGGGAATCAAACAATGTAGTTGCAGCCAAGCTCAGTTGAGTACATCATTTGAGGTCAAGTCGAGTACTATTGTCACTTTGTGTTGCTGTACACTAAGGATAACTCATGGGTCCTTTGTGTTTTCTGTGCCCCAACAAGGGGGTGTTTACACAAATTGAAGAGAATGTAAAACAAGTCATTCCAGAAATGATAAAGAAGCTACCCACCACCAGTTTGTTGTTATTTTTCTGGGTAAACAATTGGCATAATTTTGGACTGACTTTTATGGACTTGTGCAAGTTCTCATTATTTCCCGATAATTAGATCTTGCTTTGCACAATCTCCCTACTAATTAGTTTTAAAAACTCGTTTATATAGTTAAGAGACATCCACATATATAAGTGTCATGGACTTCTACTCCTGACGATGCGGGACATGACGATGCGGGACATCACAATCACTCCCTCTTATGAACTAGCGTCCTTGCTGACCCGACTCGTGGACTTTCCATGTTACTTCATTTTTGGCTTGGGATTGATTCTGATACCATTTGTCAAGATTTGACCTGAACGATATAAATACTATAAGTCTTGTACATTCTTTTCTCATGATTTTCAAAACGCGTATATGCCTATAGGAGGGGCATTTGCACATGGAAGTAAGTATATTTGATTGAAAGGGATGAGCATTAATCGCGTCCTTCATCATCAACATTATATGTTTTTACGGAGAGAAAACTCACTTAATTGTGTGCTAAAGAGAGTAGGTGTTAAAGGCGCCTTAAGTAGTTCTAAACGAAAAATAAAATGAATATAAATGGGTGGGTATACAACGTTACTCAATAGTTTAAGTTTTTAAATTAAAGAGTAAGTCTCCGACTTGATACAAACTTATAAGTGATATTAGACTTAAATTTAAGTTATGATCTGATGTCAGATAAAAGAAATCCAGACTCTATCTAGATTAACAAATTGGTTCGATGACAATAAAAATATTACGAGTTTAAGTGAAAGAGAATGTTAAAATGTCTATCATCAATGCGAATAGAAAGGGAAAACCCCGGGCCAGTAAACACATTTTGGATGAGCATAGGGAACTGCCTTGCAGGTTCCTAGTTGGGACTAATGTTGTTTCCAAATTACTTCCTTTTGTTTTTTTGGGGTAGTGTATCCACTCCACGCGCCTTCAAGTCAGTGGTGAGTGCCGTGCGTCACTTCTATCCACTTAATAAAATGCCAATGCTTTCCCTTTTCTTGGCAATATACCAACTTGCCATAAATGCCACTTGACCCCTCTCCCTCTTTACACTCACTCATTCTCCCTCTCCACAGTATATAGTAGTTAATTGGGTTCATTCATATGCTTCCCCTGTCCATGGAAAGAAAATCTGATCATCTGATCTTTCCTTTTTAAACCACAAGAAACTACTGCCACTTCTCTCCAAGATTTCTCTCTGATCATCAGTACCCTGGTTCAAACAAAGCAAATCCCAGAGATACATATATATCATATATATATATATACACACACACACAAGGTATGTATCTTCTGTACATTCTCTCTCTCTCTTCCATTTCAAACATTTCCCCCTCCCCCTTCTCCTCTCTCACTCATCAACAAGCTCTCTCTCTCATCAAGAAGAGAAGGAATATGCATTGTAGAAATTGTTTGTTTTAATTTTTTGATATATATATTTTTTAATATCAAAAAGTAAATTTATAGTTCAAAAATCTGTTTGGCTGATAGTATTATGAAAAGTGTATCTGAAAAGTGTGTCGAAGTTGGAAAAAAGAAGAGTTTATGTAACAATCTTAACAATCTTTTTAAGATGCTCTAAAAACTATTATATATTTTTGGAGATCTTGATGTAATAATTGAATCACACTAATGCCGGAAAAATACAGTGAAAATAGAAAATGAACTCCTTAAAACCTAGCTAATATAGTATATATAGTGATTAGTGAACTGTATATCTATCAGATCTCATCACCTGAAACTCCCTCTCTCTATCTGTCAGATGATTTCCACAGAAAGTAGCAACAAAGATTAAAACCCTAGAAAAAGGAAAGCCAAGAGAAGCTAGCATTCATCAAATCTATATCGACTCAATGGATTTCATTACAGTAGAAAGCAATATTCCCAAATCCAACAACATCAACATCATAGCAAACACTATGATCCCAAGCAGCTGCTCACCACCTCCGCCACCGGTTCCCAGCCGGTACGAGAACCAGAAGCGGCGAGACTGGAACACATTCTGCCAGTACCTCAGCAACCACAGGCCTCCACTCTCTCTCCCCCTATGCAGTGGTGCCCATGTCCTCGAATTCCTCCGCTACCTCGACCAGTTTGGCAAGACCAAAGTCCACAACCCCGCCTGCCCCTTCTTCGGTGTCCCTAACCCTCCTGCACCTTGCGCTTGCCCTCTCCGGCAGGCCTGGGGAAGCCTCGACTCCCTCATCGGACGCCTCAGAGCCGCCTATGAAGAGCACGGTGGGAAGCCGGAGGGGAACCCTTTTGCTGCAAGAGCAGTGAGGCTGTTCCTGCGCGAGGTCCGCGATTTTCAGGCCAAATCAAGGGGCATCAGTTATGAGAAGAAAAGGAAGAGAATTACAAAGCAGAAGAAGATAGCATTGCAGCCTCATGGTGAAGCTGATTATAGTGGTAAAGCCATTATCTAGAGTTGTTTGAATTAAATCTTTAATTTAATTACTATATGATATCTATATATATATATATATATAGAACTAGATTATGAATCTTATGTCTTCTCTCTTTATGGTTTTAGCTGATCAAACTATGTGTATTTTTATGTTCTCGTTGTTTGTTGAAATGGGTAATTAGAGAATAGAGTAATGGATTAGTAATTTAGTATATAATTTAGTTATTGCAGGAATTATCTTTAGATTTGTGGTAGTCTTGAATTTGATCCAAATGCAACAGTAGGGTTTGGAACTAGCAATAGTGGAAGTAGCAGTTGGAATAGAAGCAGAAGTAATGGTAATTAACATCATAAATTGGTGTGTGTGTATGCATATATACATACATATACATTCTTCAAGCAATCAATAGACTATATTTACAAATTCTTATTTTTGTTGTATTTATAAGCATGACAAGTCCCTTGTCCCTTCTTTGTCATACTCATGACTAATTTTACATGCATATACAGTTTGATGCCTTAATTCTATAGCTATGTAATTAAAAAACAAAAAGCCAATATTAGGACAAAGATACGAAGATATGTAAAACTTTATATATATATATGCATTCATACATCCTCAGATTTGTCCAATTCTAAAGTGGCTGCTCTTATTCTACTGCATGTGAAGTTCTAATCAATTCACTATTTGTATAATGTGTGTTTTGTCTGGCACCGCATCCACCAAGCAGTGGTTTCTTGACATACATATGCCAATATGCGAGTATATATTAATATATTTAAGGATAAAAGATACATGCGCGCATACATAATTGTATATAATCTATATCTGTGTGTATGTGTGGTTTATATATGGAGGATGTAGGAGCATAATCTTGAACGACACGGGTGGAGAATGATATATATACTAGATAAACATCTGTTGACCGTAGAACTCATAAACAAAAATTGGTTTGTTCAACTTCAAAGTCTACCTTCATGATTATATATAGAATAACAGGTATTAATTATTTAATGTTATACCAAGAAATTTTTTTGCATGGGTATATTAGAGAAAAGAGAGGGAGAGAGACTATATATTGAGTTATAAAAACAAAAAACAAAAAATAAAAAAACCAAATTTTGAACTTTGCAGTTATGTTATACTAAGATATATTTCAACTTGGATCTATTTCTTATTTATATCATATATTTATCTCTTGTGTGTATGTGTTGATACTTTTGTCTTTGTGTGAAGAAATTGGATGATGCAGAAGGAGTACATAGTACTATTAATCTGTTTTATATGAAAATTTAATTTCTTCCCCATATTTTTTTTAAAAATTATTGTCTAGTAATTTATGAAACATGTACTGCGTATATGGGGCATTAATTGTACGTGGTGTACTAAGAAAAAGTCCAATGTTCATCATTTTGGACTGGTGGTTGTAGTGTTTATATATGGTTGAAATTGTTTTGATCATCTTACAGTTATACCTGAGAATTAAAAAGCCTTTCATTTAGGAGTAGCAGATTTTTTTTTTTTTTGAATGTTCATGCGGTCAGGGATGGTTGAAATTGTTTTGAGGCATTATATAGTTATTTTCAAGATTCAATTTTCTTAGTCCAGTAATTGATTATATGCATAATTAAGTCTCTCTAGTTCAAGTGTTTTTGAGCTACATTAATGTCATCAAGAAATGCCAATTCTATGCTTTCACCACAGTTTATTATCAACAATTGTTTCACTTTTTTTTCTTTGTTGTAATTAATGTTTTATTTTATTTTATTTTATTTTTGTCATCTGTTCCAATTTCATTAATTAGGATGAAAATTAACCATATTGGAAGAGACCAGTGGATGGAGAGAGATAGAGACATATATAGAGTGTGTATAGTCGAGATTAACACTCTATTATTAGGTTGAGTAGAGCAATCAAAGGTGAGAATTCTGTCTCATAGAGAGAGAGAGACACACACACACACATGGTAGCCCTTGGATGAGATGTTTCTTGAAAGATGAGGACAAAGCTCAAGACAAGTGGAGCACAGATAGAGCATTTAAAAAGTGAGATATAGTTGGGTATTGACTAAAAAGATGATCTAGCAAAATCTATAATTAGGGGAAAGGACGAAACCCTAGATCCAATTTTTCCACCATAGGTGCTAGCTTATCTAGAAACACACAGTATATATATGCTGCGCGCGCGCGCTAATACATACAATAAGACATAACATGAGAAAATGAAGTTTGTGAATTTGACAGGTTATGTTTCCTAATCAACGACCAAATCACAGTCAATTGGCTGGCTGATGTTGGATTATTGTTCGGCCGAGCACAGTGCATCCGTGGGTTGCACTGGTGTAGTCCATTGTTGAAGATCTCGACTTAAATAGAATTGTCTTCCAAAATTTAATGCTAGGTTTGGTTGGTGAGAATGATTGAGTGGGATGAATGAAGTTTTTCGTGTTTTGATTAGAGAAAAAGAGAAGTTCCGAGTTTGGTTAGAAAAAAGAAAAGAGAGGGTGAAACATCACTCATTTTTTTATATTTTGAAATCAGAAAGGAGAGAAAAAGTCAATAACAACTTTAACCTCTTCAAAAAAGTTCAAATATATATCTACTTTTTGTTATTTTATACGATAAGGATATATTGATAAAAATATATAAAAACTTTATTTTTCTTGTATCTAAATAAAAAAAAAAGTATTTTCACATCCATCATTTTAATTATTCATTTAAAAAAAAATAATAAAAAGAGACTTTTCCTTCGCTATGAATTCTTCACCCATCTTTCCCCCTTTTTTCTATTCGTTTTTTCATCCCTTCAATCAAATAGGGTGCTAAAAATACCGTCTCAAGGATCCCTAAGAGGCGGCATGGATCGCATAACGTCACTCTAATACTAATGGTGTCTTTTTTTCTTATATGGCCATTCTGCCCTATGTCCTGTCACATCAATGTTTGCGTTTTTGGAAGATACTGTAAAAAGTAAGTATATGCACGTTAATTACTATCTACACTAAAAATTTTAGATAGTTGTTAGAGAATATGTCTAACAAAATACATCAAGCTCAAATATTTTCTCTCATGTGTAATATGGATATAAACGAAATGAGGGAATAAAAAATAGATGTTGGAGACTTGGCACCTCCATAGAATTAATTCTCTTAAATAGGGCATGTTTAGTTTATTTTCTAATTTTTAGAAAAATGAAAACTCGAAAGTAAAACAAAAAACTTAAAATTAGAAAGCGTAGAAACTTTTGATCTGCTTAGTTGAGTTTTTTTGAAAACAATTGTATGTTTTTCGAGAACTAAAATTTAAAAAATGGTACAAAAAAATATATTTAATTGATAATTTTTTAAAACTGTTTTTTGAAAACTTAATTAAAGAAATAGGGTCGTCTTAAGAGAATTGTCTTTATACACTTAAACCAAGCAGACCTTTTATTTTGTGAACCATTTTTACGAAAACTGTTTTCTAACAATTTAATTAAAGAAAAAAATATCTTGATTTTAGATAGTAGTCTTTTGTAGTTTTCTATAAACAGTTCTCTCTTCTTCTTCTTTTTTTTTTTTTTTAGTTCCTTAAGAAAAAAAAAAAAGAGAGGTTAAATTTCCATAAAAATACACTCTAAAATATAAACTAATAATAATCAAAATTTGAGACATAATTCCTAACAATATTTTACATGGTGGTGAATTGTAAGATATTCTAAAAATCTGACACTATATAAAATAAAACATAAATAAAATATATGCAGTATATGAATCTGAATATAAAAAATTTAATTATATAATTCTCATAAAATCTTTTTTAAAATTAAAAACTCATGACACTTGCGAAGGTGTGATAAAGTGCACTTCATTATACTTTTTATGCTAAAAACAACATTATACAACATGTGCAAATAGATGACTGCTAAGCACACTAGCGACAACGCGATTTTAATCTTACATAAAATAAGATTATGAAATTCACGTAAGGGCATCTTTTTCTGTTCCTAAGGATCTGTGCAGCTCTTTCGTGCATCTAACTTATCTAAGAATATCAAAACGGTGACGTTTAAATTCATTTACTGTGTTGTGTGTGTTCCACACACATTAAACATTAGAGAGAAGGGGGTTAAATTATGTGGAAGATATTCCGCAATCTAAGGGGAAGACCGACAGGGATACTCGATTCTGACACGTGCAGCTAAGTGGTCCCCACAAGCGGCGTGCTATACCACGTGGCCACAAGTACCACCTGTCGGCCACAGAACTGCCTCTCTCCTCCTCGTTTCCAGTGCTCCCCAACCCACAAGCTACGATGCCGACACGTGAGTCAGTCTCAACCGTCGGATGCGTTGTCTTTCCCAGGAAAAGTTTGTCCGTACGAGAATTCGACGACACCCCCAATTTTTTTTGCCTTGTTTGGCTTCCACAGTTTTTGCCATTTGCGGGAACCAAAATCATCCAAACGGTCTCGATTATGGTGGCTTCTCCACTCATCCCTGCTTTCCGACTTTTATACTTGTAAGGTTGCTGCTATATACATAATTTATATGTATCTATATATGTATATATATAAGCATTGAATCAATCCAAATTTTATAATTTTATTTTAAGATATTTTGAGCTTATTTTTTTTTTTTTATAATGTAAGAGTTTTTGATGTGATATTTATCATGAGGTTGACTTCAGATGGTAGTTTTATTCTGAAAAAATATGTTTTGAACAACTTTATGGACTGGACTCACTTTTCAATGGACTAAATCACAATTATTGGATGAGCTGGACCACATATAGCCTTCACTATTTAGTACATGTGATTTTCAATTGGACCATATATAGGCTTCACTATTTTATAAGTACATGTGATTTTCAATGAAAATCGAAATGTCATTATAATATTCATAGTTTTTTATTAAAGAAAATATGAACTTGCTTGGTAATTTGCTTAGTTGATCTCAAAACAGTCTAATAATTATTTAGAAGTTACAACTTACAAGTAGTTATGAATTGTCCTTGGAAATTAGAGGAGCACTTTGGTTGCCGGAGTTGGAAAGAAAGAAGATAAGGGAAAGAATGTTTTTATATGTCACTCATTTACCGGGAAATTACAATGACCTTGCAGACCATTCAGTATTTATTATTTTGATCTTTTTTAAAATTTGACGTGTATACTGAACAAATTCTTAATGTTTTCTTTCCAGCTAACCTATTGACCATATTTTTTAAAATGACACTCTTGTATAAAATGTAATATAATATATTATTATAATATAAGGGTATTACTGACTTTCCACACTTAAAATTACTTTTTAACCGTGACAAACGGTTTTAGGAAATATCAAAGTAATAAATGCAAAACAATCTACCTATGTATAATTTTGTTCAAATCTCAAAGAAGGTCAATGTAATTTTCTCTTGATTTAAACATGAGTGAGCTAAAAAGAAATAAAAAATAAATACCAAAAGAATGGAAATTTTTCTCAAAAAATGATCATGCGTGTTTTCTATATGTTTGGGCCAAGGAGGTGGACTTCAGCTTCAAGTGAACCCAATTGTTGAGCCATTATTGATTAAAGGAAAATGGTCACCAACAGGCCTAAAGAAGGCCTCTAGCAGAAACACAAATCCGATGATCAGATTTGGGCTTAAAAGTTGGCCCTTTATGCTCCATTTCTGAAGGAGGCCCAGATTTGGGTATACTTTTCCCCAAAGTCATCACATCACCTATCCGCAATAGACTCACACATCCATTTATTCGAGAGAATGTTAAATATTCCGGGAGTATGGTACTCCGCGATCATCCCAACCCTTGGATGTGGTGGGGTCCACCACCACGTCCATGATCCAACGGCTCCCATTATTCCAGAGTACCATACTCTCGAAATATTTAATATTTTCTCCAACGGTCTATTGTTACTACAAAACTCGAACCCTCACCTTTCATTTTGAAAAGTGAAGGAAAAATTTATTAATAGACTACATAACCTCTGACAGAGAAATGCAAAAGCGTGTTAGTTGACTAATTTAAAAATAGATGTAATGAACTTAAAATGTTAGATGAATCCAAATAGTGATACTGTTTTATCAACCGAAAAAAAAAAAAAAAAAAAATTACGTTAGTGTTATTTAATTTTGGCTTGTGCTTTTACTGTATGTAGCATAACTCTTACTTCTTAAAGTTGATAGATCTATTTAATCATCATAGGTCAAATAAAAATGTAGTATCACCAAACTTCACATGGCTTTGAGCCTTTATGTGCTGGCTCGATCTGAAACCTGATTATGCTGTTGGTACCTTAGGTTCCAAAGACAAGTGCCCTAATTGTGTGTTGTTAACAGCTAAAATCCTCTTCAATATTGCAGAAGATCAATACAGCAACCAACGGTGGTGATTGGCACCACGGTCTCATCAAATGGTTATGGGTTCCATTTGATGGTGTTAATTACCACCATTAATGATATATCGTACTTATCGGAGAGGACGTTCCTATAATTTAAAATCTTGATGGGTTTAATTGGGACATTTGTCTGCAAATTTGCAAGCATGTACATAAATGCACATGGAGTTTTATACTTAAGTAAAGTCGCAAATTAAAATTTTTGCTATGACAAATGAAGGGTAATGATAAATTTAATCTCCTTCCATATATCACAAGCAGCTAGTTGAGGCTAGCCTCACGAATAATTCCATAATCCTCACGATCGCACCCTCATTACAAGTTTGTACACATGCTTTTAGAGTTACTAGATTGGCTACAACACCCGAACTGTAATACAAAATCATCCCCAAAGATCTCGGTCGAAAGGACGTATGCCCTCGGTCAAAAAGGCATATGCCAAACATTTCCTTAGTGAAATATTATCTTAGTGAAATAAAATTTTTAACAAGTGGAACTTTAAATAATGTACATCTTGGATGGCTAAATTTGCATCTTTTTTATCAAGGAAAATGATTTAGAGTCTATATACAACCATTCCAATTAATTCATGCAAGCAGGGACTGACATCATTATAATTGCCTGAATAAAATTAATAAAATTTGTGAACATATCAGACCAGGGGCGGAGCTAGTGGTCTGACCCCACCATACATATGGTAGTTTTTTTGTTTTTGTTTTTTTCAACATGTATATATATATATGAAATTTTTTATATAATGCCTCCGAAAATTATTATTTTCTAAAATTATTTCTTAATTTTTTTATTTTTTCTCATTTACTATTTAAATTTCTTTTAAAAAAAATTCTAATTTTTTGCCTTTTTAAGTTATCATTTTTCTTACTTTTTTTCTTTTTTCTTATTTTTTTCCCACCTAGTCCTTTAAATATATATTTTTTCTTAATATTGTGTCCCAAAACTAAAATCCCGACTCCTGCATGGGCTCCATATTATTACTCTTTTATTAACCCACTCAATAATTATATTTAATCAAAAAGTAAAAAACCCTTTTATTAATCCCACTCAATAATTATATTTAATCAAAGAATCAAAAACCCTTATTAAGCAAAGAATAAGTTGATTGAGTTCTAACCCCTTTTAAGCTTTTTCAAAGAATTATATTATAAAATGTTTCCCACATATGACTAAAACAACTGCCATCACAAGACGTAATGTGACATTTATGCCAGCCAAAAACAATGGGATTGTGGGACCCACCAGCTGAGTTGTACACGCCTTGGTGTAAAGAGAGTGTCGGCGAGGGGACATACTAGCAGATGAATGAAATAAAGCGCCGAATAAGTCCTGTTTGGATAACCTTTCTACTAAAATGCAATTTTGATATTGTTGCAAAATATATAAAATGCCCATTTTTTTTTTTTTTTTTTTTTTTTTTTTTTTGCTATTATAGAAGTTTTTTCTTGTGATATTTATCACCAAAATACTGTATCATTTTCGTCGAGTTATTATTATTTTTTTTATTCCTAATATGATAATAATGATATATATTCACTGCATAAACACTCCCTAACTCAGCCCCGCGTAATATAACAGAATCAACCGCTCAAACCATTCTCTCTCTCTCTATCAAACAACCCCAAAACCAGAAGAGAGAGGAACTACACAATGGGGTCTCTCCCACCATCTTCAGATCTCTCTTTACCCTCCCAAAAAGCCCTAGTTGACCCCAATAACCTCCTCAAACTCTTCAAATCCCAGCAAAATTACCTAAACTACTTCTTCCAAAACCTAGACCTCTCTCAAACCCTAACCTTCACTCAAACCCTCTTGAACGCCAAGGGCACAATCTTCTTCACCGGCGTCGGCAAATCGGGCTTCGTCGCTCAAAAGATCTCCCAAACCCTAGTCTCCCTCGGAATCCGATCTGGGTTTTTGTCCCCTGTCGACGCCCTTCACGGCGACATCGGCATTTTGTCGAATTCCGATCTCTTGGTGCTCTTTAGCAAGAGCGGGAACACGGAAGAGTTGCTCCGGCTCGTGCCGTGCGCGAGGGCGAAAGGGGCGTACTTGATCGCGGTGACCTCGTCGGAGTCCAATTCTCTGATGGGTGTGTGTGATTTGAATGTGCATTTGCCTCTGGAGAGGGAATTGTGTCCGTTCGATTTGGCACCGGTGACCTCGACTGCGATTCAGATGGTTTTCGGAGATACGGTGGCGATTGCGTTGATGGGTGCGAGGAATTTGACCAGGGATGAGTATGCCGCGAATCACCCGGCAGGTCGGATTGGGAAAACCTTGATTTTCAAGGTGAGAGTGATTTGGATTTACTTCGATTTATTTAGAATTTTTGGTTATTTCAAATTGGGATCTGGTTAGAATTCAGTAGATTAAGCTTATCTTTTTGAGTCACATGCTTCATTTGAACTTTAAATGGCATTGAAATATGGCTTCTTTTAGTTTCATGAAAATCTTACCTATACACATGGATACACATATATAAATATAATACATTTATACATATAGTATGTGTATGGTTATGCTTTCTCAGATTTTGGTTGTGATAGTGATATTTCTCACTTGCTTGGTTGGATGATAATATGAATCTGGGTCTGGATTTCTGTGTTAGAATCAGTTATCAGCTGACTAGAGCTGATTAATTGGTGTTATCTATTAATTGCATATAGAGGAAACAACCTAAGCCGTGATTATGCAGATTGATATATATTGGTTGAGTAGTTTGAGGGCCCTTCATATATGGATTATGATTCTTAAACACGAGAATTTAGGTCCAGAAATCATTTTAATGATTTTACCGAATTCGTCACAGGCAAGATAAAGAGTTGGTTTTTGTCAAAACCTTAATAATGTTTTGTAGGAACCATGACAAAGAAAAGTTTATCTTTCTTCTTCGGGCAAGGCTACAGGAAGATGACATTTTTTCAAAAAGAAATATACACACACATATAGAAATATGAATTATGGTGGTTGACATGGCTCGTGTTGATTGAAATATTAAGACTGTCTGTATCTGATTATTATAGAACTTATATTCATCATAAGAACAGGGTTGACATGGTTCATGCTGATTGAAAATATTGGAACTGTCTACATCTAATTATTGAAGAACTTATTTTCATCATAATAATGGTGGTTGACATGGTTCATGTCGATTGAAAATATTGAAAGTGTCTATATCTAATTATTGAAGAACTTATTTTCATCATCATGATGAGGGAGTTGACATCTACATGAATGTTACCATTGAAATGATTATTCTTTTCTAGGGCCAATCCTTTAAAAGGTTGTAGCCAGGATAAGATATGTATGTAGTTTGCCAATGGAATCTAAAAGTAATGCAGAATTATGCATTCTTAAAACCGTGAAGGATTTTTTGGAGTCAATTATAAACATTTCAGTTGCAGTTGAACCATCAAAAGCTGATATTTTATTAGCAGATGATTTGTTTATAAACAAATGAAGCAGATAGGAAAATAAGGACTTTTGCCTGATCTACTTGTGTTGCAGGTGAAGGATGTTATGAAAAAGCAAGAGGAACTTCCAGTCTGCAGGGAAGATGATTTGATAATGGATCAGCTAGTCGAGCTATCCAGTAAAGGATGTGGATGCCTCCTTGTAATTGATGAACAGTACCACTTGATAGGCACGTTCACTGATGGTGACTTGCGGCGCACACTGAAAGCTAGTGGCGAGGGGATCTTCAAGCTTACCGTGGGAGAGATGTGCAACAGGTAACGTCTTGCTCAAGATATTAGAGTAAAGCATAGGTTTATCAAGCATTGGGAGTCCTATTTAGATATGCAGTCGTGCAAAATTCACCACATGAAGCAACCTGTTAAGATTTTGTTAACTCCTATTACTACATTTGAATAAATTTAGATGATCCTGATTTCTTTAATCTTCCTGATGTGATATAACGTAGGTCTTAGCTCAATTATGTAGGATCCATTTATGCCAGATTAGAGGAAACAGTTGCTTATGGTTTCTTTCTGTAACTTCTGCGGCATTTTAGGAATCCAAGGACGATTGGTCCCAATGCAATGGCAGTTGAAGCAATGCAGAAGATGGAGTCTCCTCCATCTCCCGTTCAGTTCTTGCCTGTCATCGAGCATCAAAACGTCTTGATTGGTATCGTTACACTGCACGGATTGGTCTCAGCTGGCTTGTGAGTTCTATATGGATGTATTAATAGTCTCTATTCCGTCTTTTATTTCTACAAACGATTCTTTTGTATTTTTTACCCCAATCCTCTGACGAGGTGGTTTATCTGATATTCTTTAGATGGTTAATGTTGTACTTAAGAAGCATATGAAAAATCTTAATTGATATTTGTTATCTAAGTAAAGGGGTCTCTTGAGCATCCATTATTTGACGTACTTGAAAGTTCAAAGATGTAAGCTTTTTGCTGTTGTTACATTTCTTTTAGGCTTTCAACTCATCGACTCTTACCAAGCTTTTTGCTGTTGTTACATTTCTTTTAGGCTTTCAACTCATCGACTCTTACCAGAACCATGACCCAATGGTTTCAGAATATGACAGGAATTGTTTATATTTTCTGGTTTTGATTTCTCGCGTGCGCAGACCAAGTTTTGGAGAATAACCAGTTATTATTATTCGTACATTTAGGTGCAAACTTTAATAAGATTTGAGACTGTAATCTTGGTTGCTTCCACCTTGGCCATGGCTCAATCGAGAAACTATTAGATATAGGCCACTTGATGGTCTAGTCCAATCAAAATTCATGTTTACGTTACTCTTTCTCTATAATATGTTAATAAAACACTGTTGACTGTCAATTACTATGATGTAAGAGTGAAAAGGCAGAGAAAAACTACAAACCTTATTTTGAATAATTGTATAATCTAGATTAGTCATTAATTTTTGATATTTTATACCATTCTTGTATTTGGTTGAAAATTTTGTTATATAAACAAAATGCCTTTGACAGAGAGCTTTTGAAAACAGTTCTGAAAAAGATTTGGCAAAAACATTCCGTTTCCAGGGGACCAATAAGCTTTGAGAAATAAATCTGGCTGTATTAGCTGTCAGTGAAATTGATCAAGGCAATGCTTAGATTACAGACATAACCATCTAAATTTGTGTTTGTGTGAGAGAGATGAAATTGTGTAGATTCTTTCTGAATTTTGGGTAACTTGTCCTGTCGAGTGTAGAAGAAAAGCTGTTCGAGCTTGTGAGAGACTGCAATGCATTTGGCAACCTTGGTCTGAATGTTGTATCTTCCTGTCTTTCTATTAGCTCTCGTTCCACAATCTCTGTAAGAAATATGAAGCCATACAACTCTCAGTTTCTTATGTGCATCACCTCTATAAGAGCTTGGAATATAAATTTTCCCTGAATGTAGTAAAGGACGAGGAAAGAAAGAAATTCTTCAAAATTTAAGAAACATCACGAGAAAAATAAAATGTTGGAATTGTAACAAAAAGGTCATATGGCAAATGATTGACCTGAAAAAAAAAAAAAAGTAATAATAATAATAATAATAATAATAATAACTGAAAAGGAACATCAAGAGCAATGACTAAAAAGCACTATGGCAAAATGTCATATGGCAAATGATTGACCTGCATAGGTGTTCTAGTGTTGTTTTCGGAAAAGAAATAAAAGAAAACTGCTACAGCACCACACCAAACTAGGGTGTGGCAAATTGACGGGATGGATCAGATTTGACCCGGGTTAGATATGGGCGGATCAAATATTAACCCATTTGTACTGTGTCAAATGTGGGTTGGGTCAAACCGTGATGACCCAATGACCCGTTTTTTAAATTTCTTTCTTTTTATTTTTTTATTTTATTTTTTATGGACTATAACAAAATCGTTCTCACTCTTTTACCCTTTTTTCCAGCTTACACTATTACTCTAATTCCATCTTTATTTACTAAAAATTTGAAAAAAAAAAAAAATCAGTTTTAATTGCTTTTCAAAATAGGTTGAATGTAGGTAATAGGTTGACGAAACTCACATAATTGATATATAAATTTTACAATCTTTTTAAATTTTATACTATTTTATAAAATTTTAACCATCAATTCCTATGAATCCAAGTTAATAAGGGTTGAAAGATCCGACCCATTTGTACAACCCGATCCATTTAACCTTTAATATAATTTACTTAACGAAACTCTCTAACCATTTACAAAGATTTAATTATTCCCAAATCAAGTAAAATAACGACGTTTTGGTTATTTTATATATATTTATAAAAACTAGCAAACTTGTATATATATATATATATTGAATGGATAGTTTTCGTTGTTAGAGAAATTAGTAGGCAGGAGAATTATTGAACTAGCAGTGCGCCTTGAATCAAGTTCATTAAGAAATTATATATTCTTAGTTGTTACAAAAATCCATTAAATATAATCCCTAATTATATAGTTGAACGACGATCTTGATTGGAACTGGTAAGAATGTTAGAGAGAGACAGGGTGAGGCAGCATAAAATTTTCCTTAGCTAGTAGATAACTAGAGAGAGACTGGGTGAGGCAGTACGAAATCCTAGAGAGAGAGGGTGAGATGGTATGAAATTCTAGAGAGAGTCTTTCGAAAATATATATAACTTGTTTGGTTTGTAATTATGTGAACATTTTTTTATTTTTAAAAAATTAAAAATAAAAAAATATACAAAAAAAAAACTTGAGAATTGTTTTTAAAATTACAAACTAAACAGGCCAATATATTCTTAATTTTTTTGTTATTCTTTTCAGAAGTTGGAAAGTATACTGTATGAATTTTTCCTTACATATAAATGTATGCGTCCTAAAATATGGATTAAATATGAGTCAACTATTAAGAAGTGGACGGTTGTAGACAGGTTGTGAACCAATTTGTCACACCTTTACCGAACAGAGATCCATGGATCTACCAGTATAACAACACTAGAAGACTCCTGCAGTTTCATCTTAGATTCCTAATATTGACCCAAGTTGCTCTTATTGCCATAGCAGACACTGACAATATATAGGCGAGACTCAAGCAATCTCTTTAAGTGATTTTGGAGATGATAACAAAAGTGAGTGAGTGAGAGGACCAGAAATAAAATAAAATAAACAAAATAACTGCATTTAATAAGTTGATGACCGGTATATTTATCAATCTTTTTTTTCTTTTTCTTTTTTTTTTAAGGAAAAGATATTTATCAATCTTACTTTGTGAGTTTTGATAGGTTTTCTTTGACAAGATTATTTGATTTTGTTTTGATAAGCTTAGAAATATCTTTTATTCATACTGAATCCAAAATTGGATTCCTCATTTTTTTTATCATACTTTTTTCTTCTTTTCACCCAACATCTCACCACCTTCCAACCCCCATTAATCACAAACCCAAACAAATGAAATGAAAAACTTTTCCATTCCTTGATTAATAATTTTTTATAAGTCTTACTTTTTCATTAAATTTATTTGATTTTGATTAATTTTGACACAAATGTATGTCTTTCAGACATTGACTATAACAACATTGCAACAACCAATTTAATCAAGTTACTTTCTATCTTTTCTACAACATTGTTTTGCTCACGAGTACTTAAACAAGAAATCTGTTTGAAGCAATCAAAAAACAAACAAACCATAGTGTGTTGATCATTATCTGATATATATGTTGTACTAGCTCTCTAAATATGGAATTGGAATGTAGGTAAGTTCAAAGAATTGGAATGGAGGTAAGTGGCTTTTGTCCTAAACAATAGGCAATCACGCTACTATAGAAATTGTTTCTCAAACCTTTTTCACTAGGTGTTATAAATGATACTCATGTCTATGGTTCTCACCTATTTATAGACATTCTATATTCTCTCTGGAATTTTCTATGTAAATATCAACAATTTTACAATACTCTCTACCTTTTTAGAATCTTCTCAGCCCTGAAAGATTCCGAAGTCACTCACTACATTATTAGATCTTCTCTACCCTCTGCAATCTGAAAGATTCTAGAACCCTTTTTTCCTTATGTAATGCAGTAGGCAAAGCGAAAGATTTTAGAACCCCTCTCTCATCATGTCATGCAGTAGGATCCAAAGTCACTCCATTAATGCAAATATATATCTACGCAATGTGAGAGATTCTTGAACCCATCTCTCCTCATGTCATACAGTAGGATCCAAAGGACGTTGCCTGCGTGGCACTACCACACTTCATATAGGCGCGCAGGGCGTGACAATTAGCTAACGGCAGTTTAGCACATATTGTATATAATTTTGTCCTAGTTAGAAAGACGCATCCCTTTAAAGAATTATTTGCATTTAAGAAGGGTCATACCTCAGAGACATCAGAGCCAACCAAGTGAGGTCAACCTCTTGGAATTTAAGGCAAATATTGAAAACACATCCATTGAATCACATGATAATGCATGCAACCCTGGTACGTTGAAATTGAAAAAGATTATATTTATGATCATCTCTATTAGTTGAAATAATGATAAAAATTAACAGACAAATGTGTGATCAAAGTATCTTAACAAGTTGTCTTTTAACGCTTGTTTTTTTTTTTCCCCGGACAAACTAAGAAAAAGGGGATCCAAATACGGGCACACTCACTCGGCGAGTAAGGCGCACTACCAACTAGACCATGGGATTGATTTATTTTAAAAACGTCCCAAGATTTCATGATACATCCAGCGTGCCTACATCAGTAGCTAAGTTCATAAATTCCTGAGCATAACTATGGCCACCCCCCTACCTTACACCCACTTAACCTCAAAATTCACACCTAATCGATCAAATGAATGAACCAAGGGTTCAAACAATATAGACATGTTAAAATTGGGGTTTACATTATGCCACTCTCTTCCTTTCTTGTACCAAGATTGAAATGAACGGAACGAAAGTGTTTTCAAGCAGAAACACTCCACACAGAGGATTATCCTCCAGAAAATTCACACGACTATGACTTCAATTCTGAAATTGGGATTTCTTAAAGAATGCTCAGTGTCCAGAAGGATCCTCTCCGACTGGAACGTGTCTCCATCTTGTTGTCGTCCCCCTCCAAGGCCTCCAGACTAGCTCTTGCCGGAGTTCAGCCCTTGCTTGGTTTCACCGGATTTGCTCACTAACACCCTTAACAGTTTCTTAAAACTGTTAATGGAGGTTATTAGTTTTTGGGTTGGATTTCTCTCTTGTTGGCCCTCTTGGGCTTGTTTCTTGGTCCAAATGGACTTCATGGCATGGCCTATTGACCCACATTGTAAATTCCTACTTTTTTTTATTAATATATTCCAGTAGCTTTAAAATCCGAAAAAAAAAGATTGAAATGAACTGAAACTTGATATCATTTTTCGTAGGGTTCACTTGAAAATTGGTCAATGATTCTACAAGCTGAGAGGGAGGAGGGATTACCAAAAATATTGAGCCCATAAACTA